TATATATATATTTGGAGCGGCTATTTCCCTAAGATGTTTCCACAATTTAGGACGAAAGGAGATTTCAACGGAGTATATGGGTATTCAACTCACTTGATCCATATGGATTATACCTTTAAACATCGTTTCAAAGCCCAATAATCGAAAATGAACCATGAGGTCCAAACAAACAGAGGCAGAGCTAGGATATAAATATTATCGGTCCGGATTAAAATCCTTTTAAGTTATTGGATTCTAAATTAATAATTTGTACATATTCATTTGATTTGTTAATACAAATACATAATTTGAACAAAAGTTATTGGGTTCAGCCGAACTCACAACTAACACTGTGGCTCCACACCACAAACAAACACAAAATAGAATGACCAATTCTTGCTTTTTACAGCAAATTATGTCACGATCCAATTTTTCCTCAGTTGGGTATCGTGATGGCACCTAGTCTTAGGGACTAGATAAGCCTAACATTTTACTGAAATAACAACAATAATAACTAAATCTAATAGTCTCGAAATAGAAATCTCTACAAAATTTGTAATTTTCCAAAACCGGTGGTACCAGTCATAAGCTCTACAGAGTTTGCTACAACTTCTAAATATAACTACTTGGAAATAAGTAAAAACAGTGTGAATACAAAATAGAAAGGTAACTCTGAAGCCCGTGAACGCAGCAACAAATTTACCTTGAGTCTTCCCAGCAAGAATCTGCTCAGCTACTAACGATCAAACACCTGAATCTGTACAAAATAATATACAGAAGTATAGTATGAGCACACCACAGCGGTGCCCAGTAAGTATCAAGGCTAACCTCGGTGGAGTAGTGACGAGGAACAGTCGAGACACCCGCTGGTCTAATAAACTGAACAAGTATAAGTATTGTCACGACCCAGATTTCTCACTGTCGGGACCGTGATAGCACCTAACATCGTACTCGCTAGGCAAGCCAACGTTAGAGTTATATTCATCTATTCCTTTACATTTTCATAATTTAAAATTAACAAGACTATTTCGAATAGGAATAAATGCGGAAGTACATATTAAACCGATTATCTATATGCTATTAAAATATTGAAACTATTATCACCCAGAAACTGATGTCATAATCCACAAACTTTCTATGAATTACTACAAATACTGGTTTGAAAGAAAAGTACATCTGTCTCGAAAGAAAATAAAACAAAAATGTAGAACATACGAGGGGACGCCAGAGCCTACGAACGTCTGCAGGACTACGTTGGGTCTCCTTGATGAATGCTTGCAACCGACCTCTCGATCAGCCACAACCAGCTCCAAAATCTACACAGAAAGTACAGAGTGCAGTATCAGTACAACCGACCCCATGTACTTGTAAGTGCCAAGTCTAACCTCGACGAGCTACTGACGAGGCTAAGGGGAGGCATTTACAATATAATCTGCATCCAGTTAATAATAAAGAAAAAGGAAGTATGGAACGAAATAGAACAGTAATTTATAGTAAATTAAATACAGAACTCAATTATCCTGTCAGTACTCAGCTATAACCAATCCTTAAGAGAGTTACACTGCTACAGAATAAAATCACAACAGAGAAAAAATACATAAACAATAAAATGATGCGGCGCACATCCCGATCCCACCATATAATTAGGAACAATATGAATATTTATCCTTATTACTCCTAGTTGCGGTGTACAACCCGATCCCACCAGTCTACCCTTATTACTCCTCAATATATTACCCTTATTTTTCCTGTTGCGGCGTGCAACCCGATCCCACCTGTCCACCCTTATTACTCCTTGTTGCGGCGCGCAACCCGATCCCACCAAACAATCACATTTCACCTTATTCCTCTTATTGTGGCGTGCAACCCGATCCTACCATATCAGTACCAATCACACATTAAGAACAAGTATTTCACAATTTAGCTCAAACTCTTCATAACACTTACGCCTCAACCAAATCAACGGAAATCTATATAATTATGAAATCCCATCAATTATTACTATACAGCGAGACCAACCAAAATATATCATGAAATACCAATAAACCAACTTAAGCCAATAATGTAATACAATGAAACTACGGAACAATTAATACCTGTCACACCTCCTTTTTTTCGAGGGGGATAGGGAAGTTTTTCCAATTAAAGTGACATAAATCAAAATGAGATTATTTATTTATTTAGAGTCGCCACTTGAGATAATTTATGGTGTCCCAAGTCATTGGTTTATTTTAAAATTCAAATCGAGGAAGTTTGATTCTATTTATGGTCAGCGAACATAAAAGACCGGATAAGAAATTTTGTTAACCCGAGAGAAGGTGTGAGGTACTTTCGAGTTCCGTGATTTTAGCACGGTCACTCAACTACTAATAATTAGCCTAATTATCTGATTAATTACATGTTTTAAACCTATTGTGCATTTTTTGACTTTTTTCAATCGCTTTTAATTATTTACTGCATTTTAAACTTGTATGGAATTAATTTGAGACGAGTTACATTGTCGTGCACTCATTGTTTTATACATATCGCAAATCGCGCCACGTGAAATGCACCAGCAATCAACAATGTGTTATTTTTATTATTGTTCTAAGTTGTGGTCGGGTCACATGAAATGTGCACCCGAATTGGGATTATGTATTATGACTATGCCACGGGAATCGTACCCATAGTCATGATGATTTATTTAAACGCGCCTAAAACAAACTATGATATTCGAGATTTAGTGAATTTCCTAAAAATTTTGACAATATCCCAACATTCAAACATTGGCCATCTAAACAAACTGCATTTATACATTAAATGAATTTAATACACTCACAAAACTGATGCCTATATATCAAACAAATGCTACATCACTAAAAAATTTATAAGAAATGTCCACTATCAAAATGACGCTACAGTTAAATCATAAGAAGCCAACCAACCATTTTCTCATAGTGAATCTCTAAAATCGATAATGAACTCAATAATTTCACCTCATTCAAACTCTGTGAATTAAGGTATGTAGAAGAACAACTATCAGTACAACTGGAGGCTTCACTCTTCCAAGAAGAAACAAAAAAGTAATGACACCAATCAGTTAATTTCAAAAGTTTTCTTATTTTAAAGAGTAAGCATAAGAGACTCAAATTTTAATTCCTCTCCACATTTCAAACACATCACATTACTTCAACAAACACACACAAAAAAACACGAAAATAGCTATCAAATAATCGTAGGAATGAAACTAATGAAACACGAACAATTCCATACAATTCTTATCCAAGCAAATCTGAAATTTATATCATTCAACCAAAATGTAGTACCTGATTGCAGCAGAATAACACAAGAAGGAAATGGATCTCTGGCTTTGAAAATGAACTAATGATAAAGATCAAGCTCAGCAAAAAAGAAGCCACAAAAATCAGCAGAAAACCCGAGCAAGTCCCATCTTCAACAACTTTTATAAACACACAACGAGAAGGATTTGAACTTTAAAAATTCCAGTAATTAAATTTTCTTCAATCTTTATTTCTTCTGCTTTTCCAATGTTGTATTTTCCAAATCAGACTTTGATGCTTAACTCTAAGCTCCAAACAACTTTTGTAAACCCAGAATATGTATTTTATTTTTTAGATTTGTTCCTCCCCCCCCCCCCCC